TCTTCTTATTGTTTTTACTTGTGTAGCAAGGACTCACAATGCACTTAAACTTCTTCCACATCTGGAAGCAACTTTCTTATGGTCATGATCAGATGCTCTGCTTAACTATTCTCATGGAGGTTTGATTTCAGTGACTGATGACACTGGAAGGATCCTGAAGACCAGGTGTAGTCCCTTCTGGATTCTTACTTCAGACCTTCAATCATTGGCAGGAATTTTGTAGGCCACCATATTATTCACTTTGTGGATTGTGGTAGTAATGAATGAAGACAAAGTTCCTCAGAATTGGAAATCAACTGTGGTCATAACTCTTCTTGTTTTTCAGGTACAACCAAATCCTGTACTATATAGATAAGTAGACCAAAAGAACCTGGGTGGGCAGGGCCTCCCAGTGACTCAGGCTGAGCCTCAGGCCCATGAGGCCACCAGTACTCAGGTCTCCCTGCTGCATCCTATGTGAGGACTCACAAAAGAAATTGCCCAAGATCTCGGTGTCCAGCACAGAGTGATTCCTTGCTTCTGAGAGAGATGCTTTCAATGGTGAGGTCCACTCACTACAATGTGGGTTGTAGTGAGCAGACTGCTCCAGCAGAGGCTTCCATAGCCCTAAGTCATGTTCTTAACCACAATGAAGGAATGGATCTATCAGAGATGAGATGGTCCTAAGTGTAGAGACTTTGCAAGTTTAGAAGGGAGACATGCTGGCGCTCAGAAAATCAATGTCAAGGAAAGGTTGATGGGGTAGAGGGGTGGAGTAAGTCGATGTAGAAGTTACCTGACTGTTCTCACTGGCTGCACTACAATCTCCACTCATTGGCCAAAAGGCGAAATTGTTTGAGTGATGGGTGTAGGGTTTTTATTCCATGAGGTAGAAAATGGCAGGCCAGCAAGGGTCCCAGGTGCTATCTCAACTCAGACTGGCAGGAGCTTCATAGTGGTGGTTAATTTTATGTGTCAACATCATGGGCTAAGGAATGTCAAGATAAGTGGTCAAACATTATTTCTAGGTATGTCTCCGAGGGTATTTTCAGAAGAGATAAGCATTTAAATCAATAGAATCAGTAAAGAAAATCCACTCTCACCAATGTCTGGAAAATCATCCAAACCATTGAGGGTCCAAATAGAACAAAAAGGTGAATTGAAAAGCAAAGGAGGGGTCAATTCACTCTTTCTCTTCCTAAGCTATGACATCCATCTTCTCCTACCTTCAGACATAGAAACTCCTGATTTTCAGACCTCTGACTCCTCACAGTAGAAGTTTTACCATCAACTACCCTGGTTCTCAGATCTTTGTACTTGAACTGAACTTCACCACCAGGTTTCCTCCATCTCCAGTGCTCACTTGGCAGACTGTGGGACTTCTCAATCTCTGTGATTATCTGAATTGATTCCTATAATAACTTTCTCTATACATCTAGATTAGATAGATAGACAGACAGACAGACAGATAGGTAGGTACTTTTTTGGTTTTCTTTTCTTTTTTTTTTTGACACAGATTCTTGGTATGGTTCCAAGTCCAGGCTGGCTTGAAACTCACTATGTAATTCAGGCTGGCCTCTAACTTGCAATCCTCCTGCCTCAGCCTCTTGAGTGTTGCAATTGCAGGTGCATACTACCATACCCAGCATATCTCTATCTTATTGGTTTGTTTTTTTCTGAAGAACTCTAAAAGATGCACCTGACTAGTGGGTTGCAGAGATAGAAACTATGATCATCTCTGGAAGGAACAGCTGGATTCTAGACAGGCCATCATGGCCACAGCTTCTGGAAAGGGGGGGTTTAGTACCTCTCTAGACCCAGGCTTACAGAGGGAAAGGACCATAGAACTAACTTGGTAGAAAAGAAAGCAGAGTAGAGAAAAGCTTTGCCAATGTTCAGTTTTATAAATCATGACAACTCCAAGAGTAAGAAGGGCTCTGATTTGGGATCTGGCTGGATAATTGGAGGGCAGACAGATAACCAGCTGTGTGACTGTACCACAGGGTCCAAAAGTATAGAGAAATTACTTTCTGCTTAAGTAATATGGAAATATGGAAGAAGCATTTGAGTGAACCTGAAAGTAAGGCAGATTATGCACCAAGGGGTAGCACAGGGATGAGGACTTTAGTATTTTCCTGTGGCAGTTGTAACGAATTCTACAGACTTGGTTGCAGCCAACAGGAACTATTCTCTCAGAGTCAGGAGTCCAGGAATCTGAACTCAACAGACAGCAGGGCTGCTACCACCCACTCTGGAGTCTCCAGAAGAGAATCTATTTTTGCCTCTTCCAGTTTCTGGTGACATTAGAATTCCTTGACTGTGACTTCACTTCAGTCTTCAAGGCCCACATCTTCAAATCCCTCTCTGCCATGTCTTCAAACAGCCTTCTCTGTGTGTCTGTGTCAAATCTCTGATGCTGTCTCTGTCCTCTAAGTACACTAGTGATGGTACTTCGCATCACTTAGATAATCCAGAATAATCCTCTCCCCTCAGGATCCTTAACTTAATCACATCTGTAAAATATTTTCCATATAAGTTAATGTTTTAAAATTCCAGGAATTACAATGTGGGTATCTTTCTCATTGGAGAGAAAAAAGAAAAAGAAAGAGACAGAATAGTGGAAGGAATTTTGGAGGATTGGAGTGGTTGAAGAGCAATCATGGAAGGAATCCTGGCTTCTTTCAGCTACCATTTTGGTCATGTTTGTGAGGACCTCAAATTCCAGGTCAGAGGGTAGAACATAAGAAGGGGAAATCCACTGGTGTGATGGTGCATTCCTGTAATCCCAGCACTTATGAGGGCAAAGCAGGAGGAGCTCAGGGTAAGGATGATGTAATTGTAGCAGGGCCACAGGAAGGCTACCTTCTCCATTTTCTCAAACCCTCTGAAAGTGTTGATGTGTTTATTATGGCTCTTAATTGAAGTGCAAAATCCTGGACAGATATAAGGTTAACATTCCCCAGCTGACACCAGTCCACAAAATTACAGCAGATGCAGTCCAATCCCCTGTGTATAATTTGGATGCCCTTTAGGCAAGTGCACATGTTCTAACCTGGTATCATTTTTATTATTTTCTAATCTGTACAATTATCTCCTGCTTCTTACCACTGCTTCTCCAGGAGCTGAGGCCTTTTGCTGTGATCTATGTGGTGGACAGTACAGACCCTTCCTTAATTCCTCTAAGCTTAATTGACGTTGGATTGTAGAATTGAACAAAACCTTGCTGATGGATGACTTGAGGAAATTACTTTGCTTACAGGAAACATTTAGAACAAGATTTTGGTCATGTAGGTCTCAGACTCCATCAATCAAGGCCCACTAGGACCTCTTGCTAACCAGTTCTTTTAAGCTGACTAATGTTCACTTTTCTTAGAGATAGCTTATTAAAACAAAACAAACCTAGAACTTGTGTCAACCTCTAGTTAATTCTTTGTATCCCTTTACCCTACAGTCCCTTGAAGCTGTAGTCAATATGCAGTTTTTACTCCCTGACCAGTTTAACTTCTGTCCCTACATTCCTACTGACTCTCCCCTTAGTCAAGGTGAACACACTCTTGCTTAGTCTGTGCCTCCATTCGTTTGTTGCCTAACCTCTGAAGCATTTGACATACGCCATGGTGCTTGCTACCACTGCACTGCTTCCTGCTCTACCTGCCCAATGTCTCACTACAGCTACAGAAGAAAAATCAGGTAAGAACATCACAGTGTCTCTAAGAGGTGTAATTCACCCCATAGAGACAAGAAACTACCTTTCTTAATAATGTAGAAAGTGAGTTCCTGCTTTTCAACTTTATAGACTTTTTTCATGTTAAGAAAATGCATACATTTCAAAGAAAAACTGTTCCTCAGTCTGTTTTATAAAGTACCAACCTCCAGGGAGAGGAAAAGAAGTTTTCTGTATTTTAAAACATATTGGATATGTGTGTATTCCGGTCACACTCTACAATAAAAAGCTCCAAAGGGTTTATAATGAAAGCTGGTCTCCCTCTAGCTGCTGTCTTCCCCAACCCTGCCACCCTGCTACCCTCCCTGGAGGCCACCATTGTTCCCAGCCACAGGTCCTTCAGAGAGATTCTATTTATACAAGCAAATACCTACTTTTAAAACAAGTATAAGTAGTAACATGTTATATGCTGTTCTGGACTTTTCTTTTTTACTGAACGTATCTTGGAGCTCCTGCCACAGCAGTGGATAAAAACCTATGTCATTCTTCTTCAATGGAAGTTTAATAAAAAGGGTGTTTCACTTGAGAAACGATATGTAATTTATTTTCCCCTATGCAACAGTAGAGCTGTGACTAGATTAATCCTAATTTGTCTGGACTTTAATATGAAATAGTTTAAAACTTTGACATTTTTCTGTCACTGAAGTTCATCACTGAAACTTCCCATCCTCTGCCCCTTCCCAAACCTGAGGCTTAACACTTATCTAGCTTGGTCAGCTGATCTCATTTTGATGAGTCAAATGTTAAAAAATGCTAGATGGTGTAGCTCAGATGTCCCTAGAACACAAAACAGTAAAAGATTCAATAAAAGGAAATGTATAGTTATGAGAGCTTTGGAGTTTGAGCTTTGGAGTGTGTGTGTGTGTGTGTGTGTGTGTGTGTGTGTGTGTGGTGTGTGTGAATTCCTCAGCAATTACAGCTAGAATCTTCTCTGGACAGCATTAGATTCAGAGGCCAGGGGAGATGCAGCATGAGTATATATTATGAGTTCACATCTCTGGACTGTTTAAGATCATTGTTCCCTTAGGTCACCCATATTTCACAAGGAGAAAGCACTCACCTAGATATTTTTCAAATGCTGCTTCTGATTCCCACTTTCTCTTTCTCTCAGGGCTAGCAAAGCAGACACTTTGCCAAAGCTAACTGAGAATGTCAGAGCAATCCTTGCCTGGACAGCTTGTCTAGGCTGTGTGCTAAATGCAACTCTCAAACACACCCTATAAATAGCTGCTCATTGTCAGCGTGTGTGAAAAGACAAGAGTGAGTGTGCTGCTCTGATTCAGGTCAATTAAGTGGTTGTGTCTGGGCGGAGCTATAAAGGAATAGCTGCTCTGGCTGGGAGTTTACTCAGCCAGCAAAGGCCACAGTTAGCCTCTCACTGAAGAGAAGGTGCTCGATGCTGTTTTGGCCTCAGTGATGGCGAAAATCATTTTTAGGCACCTCATAGAGACTCCAGTGCGTTACCAGGAGGAGTTTGAAGCTCGAGGTTTGGAAGACTGCAGGCTGGATCATGCTTTGTATGCACTGCCTGGGCCCACCATCATGGACCTGAGAAAAGTCAGAGCAGCCCCGCAAGCTCTCCCCCTGGACTCAGTCACCGAAGAGACGCCACCCCAAGAAGGCAAATCCCGCTTCCAGATCCTACTGGACGTGGTCCAGTTCCTGCCCGAAGACATCATTATCCAGGCCTTTGAGGGCTGGCTGCTGATTAAGGCTCAACACGGAACCAGAATGGACGAGCACGGTTTTATCTCCCGAAGCTTCACCCGACAGTACAAACTGCCAGATGGCATTGAAACCAAAGATTTGTCCGCAGTCTTCTGTCATGATGGAATTTTGGTGGTGGAAGTAAAGGATCCGCTTGGGACTAAGTGACACCTTATGGTTTCCTGCTCATGGGACCCAAGGAAGATGGTAGTTCAGCCAGGGTGCCAGGGGAATGTTTGTACTCCCCACGTTTGAAGTGATTTGCTGTGACTTTTATGAAGGTTAAAAATAAATACACAATTCCTGGTATGTTGAGTCTTTATTATTCTTATGCAGAAAGGAAACTGTTATGTATGTTTGCACCGTTCATGCTGAAGCTGTTCTCACAATGGAAACACCAGCAATTTAGGAGAATGTAGTTTGATACTACAGAGGACTTAGAAGTGTTTCCATGACTCTAAAATGCCAGAGAGGCTATGTTTGTATAATCCTGGCAAATCAGCCAAACCCATTTAAGAAAATCTTATTCATTTTATGAAAATCTTTTAGGTTGCCAAAAAGAGTTGTGATTCTCTTCACTTTGATAAGCTTTTCTTTTTTGTGTATTTTAATTAAAGTGGAGATTTGTAAATACAGCCTGAGGGCTAAAATACAGGATTTGAGAATTGAGTCTGAAATCTATTTCTGATTCACCCTAGTTATGACTGTCTTAAACCTCAGTTGGAACTTTCAGTTATCAATCTTATCTTTTTAAAGCTTCAACATGTACCTTATCCATTTTTTAAAGCTAAACTGAATCCATCTGGAGTTTTATTTTTTTAAATTGTGTCTATTCTGTGGATACGTATAAATTATTAATAAATTAACCTAGACTGTATTCTTCTAAATTAAATTTAAGAAACTAAAAAAAGTTACTGAATTCAGCAAGACTTTAGTCTTTGCTATTTAGAGGCAACTTAAAATTTTAGATTCAGAAGGTGACACAGTGCAATGCAATGCATCTGTTTTCTCTGTGCAGTCCTTAGCCTTAAAATAGCCCAGCAGCCAATGGAAGTGGGGACCTGAGCTTGCAGCCATCTGAGCTTGCATAGCATGTTTGATGACTGGTGCTTATGGTTCTCTAAACTGCTGCTTTGGTAGAGGTTAAGAATTTGCATTAGCAATATTGCCTTCAACAGCTGGCCTGCACATTCCAGAGATTTGCTAGTTCACTCTGTACATACTAAATATTTCTGCAGGGGAAGTGGCTGCTTTCATTTTACTTGGCACTGATGTGAGCTGACAGTGAGCCAGAGGACAGGGCTAAGAATAGAAAAGGAATACAGGGCAAGGAAGGCCCTGGTGCAGAAGCCCACAGTGTCATCGTACGCCTCCGTGTTGCTTCTCTTGTACTTCAAGTTAAACTAGGAAAGGCACAGGGCAACAAAAAACAGATCAAAAGTAAATTTGGAAGCGAACATCGATCTGAGAGGGATGTTTGTTTACAGTTTAAACTGAAAGGATTTTGAAGTTGTATGTTTATTCGAGATTAGCATCTATACTAATCTCACTCTAGGACACTCCACTCTAGGACAGGAAACTTTGGTTGACAAAGTGAATATCACAGATCAGTTTAGCTGCATAACGAACTTAACAGTGACCAGGGGATTCCAGAGCTACTAATGTGATTATAACTGGGATACCACTTGCCTCACGTCAAATTGTTGTTGTTTTCCATCAGAAAAATGTGAAACAAACTAGAGCTTTGAGAAAAAAACAAAAAGCCCTTCCGTTTGCTCTTGAACTTCTAGATGAGGTTCTGCTTCAAGGAAAGCTCAGTAAGTGAAATTTTTATCAGGAGGAATATCTTACATTCATGTATGAAAACAGAACAATGAAACCTGTTGAAATTGTTCTATGAAGGCAGGGGGGGGATAAAGGAAAAAGATGAAGGGGGTAAATCTAATTAAGATGCATTGCAAGCACTTATGTAGATGTCACAATGTGCTGCCTTACAACTATTACAACCGTAATACGCTAACAACAACAAAAAGACATGAACGTTAAAGGGAGACTATTGGGGGGCAGGACTGGAGAGTGATGGGGTGAATATGATCGAAGTATATTGCTACCTGTGTGAAAATGTTGTAATGAAACCTGTTATTCTGTATGATAAAACAATAATCACTGTTTTATAATGCTCTTGTGCAATTCAGTCATGGTTTCACACATATATTAATTTATTCAGTATGGCTCACACATTGTTTTCTTACTCAATACCTTTACCCCAGTTTAATAAAATAAGAAAATAGTTTAAAAAATCAAATTAAAATAAACACAGCTTCAATTTGCACATCTTTTTTCTAAGATACATTTTAAAGGCATACATAACCATTTTTTATTTAGAAAACTTATCAAACCCTATGGAAATAAACCTATTTCTCTTTCTACTACCTTGAGATAGCTGCTTTAAATATCTAGTTCATCTCCTCTTACTGCTTTTTGCAAAATTATCCTGTATAATATCCTGATCATACTGGTTATTGTCTGCCTCCACATTCCCACCAAACCCAACTCATCCTTTGTCCTTCCCAGCCTCATTCTGAGCCCAAAGAGGCTGACCCCTACTGGCCAACATCATTTTAGTTTCCACTGGCTTCAGCCAATGAGCGACGAGGACTGGAGGCCAGAGGTTGGAAAGATAAGATTGGTAGGCCAGAGGGCATTTCCTGCTCTATTCCCAATGTGCTCAGGCTGAGGCTCTGCCCTGGCCAGTGTCCTTCCACCAACCGGGTCCCCCAGGACTCCCAGTCTTATGGGCTCTGATGCATAACACCACAGTTCCTTCCTGTGCCCCGGGAGGAGGGTGATTTTCCTGCTCTTTCTTTTTTTTTTTGTGCTTCACCATTCTTTATTCCTTTTCTACTGTCCATTAAAGTCCTTTCAGGAGTGGAATCCTGTTTCCTGCTAGAACCCTGGTTATTTGACATTTTAAAGATAAAAGGAAAATACAAACTAGTTTATCTCTTTCTTTTACTACCAAACACTGGTTTGTAATGGCTATTCACTATTCCAACATAGATAAACTGTATTATCATTTATTGTGTTTTTCGCTCTTTGAAACAGAAGGCACTCTCCAATTGGAATAACTCAACAGGGTTTATGTATAAGGAATGGCAGAGTGTAGAGGAGATGCAAAGAGATTTGGAGCCACCTGAAGGTGGCAGTGTGCAGTAGTTATGTCCTCTAGGTCAACAGGATGAGGGGAGGAAGCGGAGTTCAGAAATCAAGAATAGCTGGGGGTGGGGCTCACGTGTGGTAGAGCACTTGTCTAGTAAGTACAAGGCCCTGAGTTCCAACCCCAGTACTACCAAAAAAAAAATCATGAACAAAGTCAGATAGACTTTTATTTGAACCAGCCCAACTGACCTATCACAGGGAGGGAGTCAGGAGAACAAACACGTTCTCTAGCCTCCTACCAGGGCCCCCATCAGCTGTACCTAACTGGTGGTCAGAGAGTGAGGGAGTCCTATCGGTCTAGTTTACCAGCCTCCCAGGGCAGAGATTCATGGAGGGCAAGAGAAAATACCTAACACTCCAATCAAATCTGTCCCATGGTGATAGTTCTGTCTTAGAAAACCTTTTCTATAACATACAGCCTAAGACAAGGAGTGGAGAGCTGACACTTTATTTGGGAGGTATGTACTTGGGTAGAGGTAAAGAAATAGGGGAAACAGGGCAAGAGGACAAGTAATACAAAGTGTGATGATGTAAGGTCCCACCATGCTGGATGCCACTTCACAATGAGCTAAGAAGACACTCAGTATGTCTCTTGGCAGAGATGTTGGTTCAGCACACAAAACTTCTCCATGGAGACTTTAGGCAGAAAACAAATCTTAGAGTCATCCCCGGGGGAATCAGGAGAGGGACTTCGTTCACCTGTTCTTGTATCCTGTTTCCTATTAGTCAAAATTTCACTCACAGGGAATAGCTTCTCCTGCACTTCTGAGTTGTATCACCCAACTTTTTGGTGGCTGCTCAAGAAACCAGATCTGCTGGTGTGACATTTCATCCATGCTGGGAGCAGAGGATGACTCAGTATGTTGAGGACTCAGTATGTTGAGAACTCAAAGTGGGAAGTGCAAGTTCAGGGCTTCCACTTACACTCTACCACCTCAAGAAACTTGACAAAGGTGGCAGTTTTGGTTGGTCTGGGAAGCAGGTGATAGCATCAGAAATGAGGTGGCAGGTGAAGGTACACAGGGTTTGTGACCAACACAACCTCAGACCCAGGTGTACAGGAAAAGGTCACCAGGCAAATGAGTCTTCAGCATCAATTGATTCTACCTGCTATACTACCTCCAAATGTTGTGGACCCTAATATCATCTTGTATTCTGACCTAATGTTAATCCACTTGTATGCAAAGCCAGTTTCTGAAATGTCTCCAGGATTTTTATTTTCCTGAAAGTTGTGAACCAAAGTCTGTCTGTCTATATATAAGCTGTCCGCCTTTTATTCTAGAGGTCTAGAAGCTAATGAAGATTTTGTAGACTTTGGTTCCTGTTCTGACCTCCCTTAGCCCAGACTGCAGCAAGGCCTTGAATCAGACCTTGACCTATTGCTCACCTGCTTGTTCTCTAAGGTAGAGACATAGCACTGGAAATCTTGTATGGAAAACCAAACCAAATGGAACCAAAAGAAACCAAGTGTCTTCCAGCTATCTCTTCATCACTCTCTCCAGCACCACAGCACAGTGTCACACAGTAAGAAGCATGTGGAAATTGCCTTGTCCATACACGAACTAATTCCTAAAGATGTCCACTAGTCAAAGGTTACTGTTAGGCACCTGCACTGACTGCAACTGGCAATTAAGGGCACTTTCCAGGCCCACAGCCACCTCTCAAACCTTAAAGGTTTTTTCCTGCCTGGGTTTCTCCTGTTTCCCCGTTGAATGTAATTATGTTTGGCCTATGTCTTTTAGTGTTCATTTTCTGTCATTGGGAAGACAGTACAGTGTCATAAAAAGAGCAGGAACTTCAACAGGAGTTCCACAGATGTCTCCTGAAATGAAACATTGCTTTATCACAATCCCATTCAATTTCATACATATGGTACAACTAAAAGGAACAAAAATGTATCATCTTACTTCACAGTAGGATGTTACCCAGCAAATAGTTACAAAATGCATCTTGACCATGACCCTTTGTGGGAAGGGGGAGACTGGAATGAGGAATGGCCAAGGTCTGGGATTTGGATGAGACTATGATCTCTAACTGCTGTCGTTACAGGCATAGCCTCTTGTACCTCACTTATATATTCTATGTCCTTCCTATTTTTTCTTTAGGCTACTAGAAACATATATATTGCCTTTTAAAAGTCAATATGAAATGGTTAGCTGATTTTTAAAAAATTGCTGTTTATATATTGATATTCTAATCAATGTAGTTTATTTTCACCTGTGTTTAAACTGTATATAAAAAACACTTTAGGACTGGGTAATTTATAAAAGACAGTAATTTATTTCTCACAGTCCTGGAAGCTGAGCAGTCCAAGGTCAAGGTACTGGCATCCAGTGAGGGTCTTCTTACTCTGTCCTCATTTGGACTGTGTTAGTTTTTTGTTACTGTGACCAATACTCAAGTGAAACCATTTAAAAGGAGAAAGGATTTACTTTGTTTCACAGTTTCAGAGATTTCAGTCTGCTGTTAGCTAGTTCCATTGTTTCTGGGCCATCGTGAGGCGGAACATTATGGCAAGAGGATGTGCAGGAGCAAAGATGCTTGCCTTGTGGTGGCCAGGAAGCAGAGCAAAGAGACAGGAAGGGGCCAGACACCAGACAGCTTCCAAAGGCAAGTCCCAGTGACTCACTTCCTCCAGCAAAGCTCGACCTCCTAAGGTTTCTGCCACTTCCCAAAGTAGTGTCATTAACTTAGGATCAAGTCTTCCACCACGAAGTGTAGGGGACATTGTATATTTGCATCATAACAGTGTAGAAGGCAGGAGTATAAGAGATAACAAATGCCCTCTGTCAAACCCTTTCA